ATTGAATCGATCCGGCCGGTCCGAGTACAGATAAACCATAACTCGGACTGCCCTGTACTGTTTCCAGTTATGCGTCGGGCACGTAACGCTAACAAGATCGTTCGAAATGCTTCGCTAAGTTCTGCGAAGTATTACTGGGTTAATATGGAATTACCCGTTGGGAGAATTTCGCGGGGACGCGATTTACGCATTCTGTGTAGCATTCTTTCGCGTGTCGCAAGCCTCCGAGCGACCCGAGAGCTTGCGTGTGCACCGCGAAGAAATGCGCCGCAAGGCGAAAACATCGGGAGAAACGCTGACGCGACTGTTTTCGGTTGCGTACACTACGATGCAAGCAGTGCAGAAATTCGAGGATGCGTACGACGTGGCGTGACGCGATAGAGAAAAATCGGCGTTGCGTGGAAAAAAGTTGATTGGACCGGTGGCTCGGGAGACTTTACCCTCGGAGACGGTGACTGGACGCGAACGCTCGGAAAAACTCGAGAAAATGGCGCCTCCGCGATTCATCGAAATTCATCAAAATTCATCACAGTATGTGCTTTATAATTCTCGAGTCGATTTCTATCTAGAGCTAAAAATAAATTCGCCGAAAAGGATTGTCCCCTTTCTCTTTAATCTGGTCGAAAATCCTTTGCACTCGGAAGTTTTTTCTGGTATAATTAACCAGCAACGCGGAGCAAACATTTCGAGAATTATGATTTTGCTGTGCAAAATCGAATTGAAATAAAAGTCGTTACGTTGCTGTGGAATTTTATACGAATTTATAAATAAAAGATTTTGCGTTCTTATTTACGCGTTTTACACGATTACCTTACAGCATGAAAGAAACAATAATAATTAACGCTAAGTCTACCGAGCATTAACACTATGCCGTCCGGTGGCACCACGCTGGTGCCATGCAAAAGTGCACTCGTGTGGTGACTCTGAGGCACCACTAAAATTGTTATATCACGTTCCAAGATGATTTTTATATTAACAAAGTTTACGTTTCAAACATTGCTAAATCCTTTGCGGACGTGTGTCGGCAAATAGCCGCCCAAGACTTTTTACCGTTTTTTTTTTTTATTAATTTATTAACACTATGCCGTCCGGTGGCACCACGCTGGTGCCATGCAAAAACTATCTGTTGTATGCCGGTGGTACCACTTTGGTGCCATTTGAAAAAACTGAAATAACGTTTGAAGTATATTTCTTGGGTGTTAAAAGGCAGCAAACTAATTATAGCATTGTGCTTATTTGACTAAGAATTAAGTACGAAAATTCATGGATGACATATCTTAATTTTAGGAATTTATATTACCGCCATCTTCGAAATGTTTTTTAAAATCTAAAATTTCCAAGCTATTATGCCGGCATCAAACGAAAGAATCATATCTAAGACCTGCGGACGGCATAGTGTTAAAAGCGACGAATATGTGTCGCTCTGTCAGAATAAGACTGAATTTATTCAGACTTTCCGCAATATTTATTACAATGAATCAGCAAATCCCCTCAATATGTCCCGCAACTTGTAAGCAAAAATGGACTGCTTGGGGAGGGGGGACACGTTCGTTCGAGTCTCGCGGCTCGTTTTTATAGTTGTTGACAATCGGCGATTAGAGAAACGAGCCGCGAGGCGTGAGTAATCGTCCCTCCCCTTACCAAATTGTCCATTTCTGTTTAAAAGCTGAGGAGCAATTTGAAGGAATTTACAGTACTTGCTTTAACACGTCGACTGCCACGCGTGTTTACAACAAAATTCTTACAGGCCACCCGTGCCGCTACAGGAAGCGTGCGCTGTTGATTCATGTCTGTTTCTGTTCCTGCACGAACAGTTGGAATCTTTGCCGAGCACCGAATGGTATAACTTAAAATCTCTGCCCTTATTTTTTTTTCAATAATGAAGAGAGATCGGATTGTCCGGAAGGAGAAGCATAAATAGAATTACATCGTCGGATTCTGATTCGGATACTGATAAATACGATCTTAGTGATAATGAATGTTATGAAGATACTATCGACGAGATTTTACGAGAATTGGTCATGGAAGAAGAAAGAAATGTTGACGATACCGAGGAAGCTACAGTTCAAATAAAAACTCGATAAAAGATACGAAATGGACCGATCGGAGGCACGAGCAAATCTGAAAAAACCGACAACTTTTCGTCCAAGCTGACCTAATCAATCACAACTTTACAGAGAATGTTGTAATGTTATACACTGCGAATAATTCTTTTTAATAAAACATTTTTATAAGAATTCAATAGTTCCATTGCCTCCTGTAGAATATTTGTCCAAATATTTTCGGAAATCCTTTGTAAGCAGTCAAATCAGCCACGTAATTCCGGTGACGCGGCCTGATGAGAACTTTTGCTGTCACCCGAACACGGGTGACGCGGCGGTCAACGTGTTAAGAAATTGTTTCAATCATTACCAATGGAAAGATCTTCGTAACCGCGGCAATTTAAAAGCACGAAATGTGAAATCGGGCATTTCGACCGACTCGGTAGGCTTCGCATTAAAAAGTAACGCCATTTTGACTAGAATATACAGTAGAAATGATTATTTACATAGAAACTATACTACACACCACTAATAAATATTACAAAGGTCCCAAATCGGTCGACAAAATAAATGTATCACAACTTCAGTCTCAACGATCGCACTTAAAAAAAAAATTTGCTTTCTTCGAAAATAATCTTCCCGCGATTGTTACACTATATCCATCGTTCTCTTAAAACTTTCATTTGGACCAGTCACCTCCCTGCGGACTCGCCAGGGTTCCCGAGGGGACACGGTTGCAGCTAATAACCGAGAGAACAGAAGCAAAGAGAGGAGAGTTCCTCAACCCACCGGACCGTCCTCGTGCAACATCCTTTATCAGGATGCCTCGGCGAAGTATGAAAATAGTGATTAAACGAAGAAAAATGGCGTACGCCAAGGCTCGGCCCAAGATGCTCGAAGCGGCGCGAGGAAGACCTCGGGAAAAAAATTGGCAACCAGTTTCAAGACCCCTCATGCATCTTGCCAGAGAAAGAGCGAATATCCTCGGACGAGGCGCATCGTACTCTCGCCGAAGGTAAAGAAATCTTAGTCGGGGAGGGAAAAAAGCTGAATGAACGCTTTGGAACGCTGCGGTCGCGAACTGAAGCGGCGCTCCATCGGGGATTCCGCGACGGGGGCATCGTCATCGAGCACAGGAGAGACTATAAGCACGACGACTGAATGCCGACTTCGTAGCGTCACCGTTCGTCGGTGTCTTTCGCTCGCCTAGCCGGCGGTGTTCAGCAGAGACGGGGTTCGCTTGACAGCGGGTCGGCGTCTTGGGGGTGGCTGTTTATTAGTTACAAGAAACCCTCGGCCACTCGGGGAAACATTTACACAGTCCGATCGATCGGTCACCGACTTTGGTGCACTTACCGCATTGGTGGAATCGGCCGGGGAACACAGAGTCTGCACACCGCGTTAGCGTCCGTTCGGCGGGCAAACTTGCACAACTGATTGCAAATTTTGAATCGATGCACGAGACGGTTAATTATCTTGCGCATCTGTGAACTGCGCCTCGAGAGCAGAAAATTGAGGCCTCGATAGATCTAGCGATAGATCTAGCGATAGATCTTGCGTTAATAGATCTAGCAATAGATCTTGCATTAATAGATCTACACTTTCTCTTCAACGCACAGCGTCTCGCATTGATATTCGAACACCATTTACGACAGAACAACTGTTTTAAAAGTGGAAGAAATTACTTATACTTTTTTTGAGACGTTAGAAAGAGTATTAGATAATGTCTGAGAAATTCTTCTTAAAACACTTTGCCGGCCGCTGTCACGCTGGCGTGACTTCTGCTCCCCAACGGTTATCGGCCGGAGTCACGTACGCGTGTCATCGGCTCAGCGCAGCGACGATGTTTGTTGACATTTTTGTAAAATATTAAACCTAAAATTTTTTTTGTAAATGATATAAGTGATATAATTTTGAGATATAAAAATATGCATTAAAATTTATGTAACACTAATTTTAGTGCCATTTTTAATAATAACCATACCCCATGTGCGACGGATAGCGTAAATATCACCGTCGGTAGCAGTACAATCCGCGCGAAATTCGCCGGCGGCAGCGTAAAGGCGATGCGAGAAATAAGCGGCCGGCAAAGTGTTAAGAACTGCGATTGGTTGGAGTGAAAAGGAAAATAAGAAGCTCGTATCTTTCCGCTTTTCTATCCGAGCTTGTAACGACGATTTAAACAATGCGTTTTGTAGGTCTCCATAATTTACACGCGTGCTGAAAATTTCATCGCAACCGGTCGACGTTATGAGTCACAAGCAATTAAAGATATCGAAAACGACATTCGATCATGAGCTGTGAGAAATCTAGCGAAAAAACGCTTTTTTGAAATGTACAGAACTGTGAGTGAAAATCGCGTTTTTCAAATCTTCATTGCAGGGTCAGGTACAACAAACTGAGTTTTCCATTTTTTTTATCATTCCAAGCAAAATTGAAAGAAAGGATTTTAGTTGTACGGTTATATTATATATATAATATACAATATAATAATAATAATAAATATATAATATATATTATAATTATTATAATATTATAATAATTATATAATATATATATATTATAATAATTATATTATATATTATATATTTATTATTATTATAATATTATATATTATATTATATATTATATATAAACTAACATAAAATCTAACATCTCCAAAAAACTCAAGTAATTTAAACGAAAGTCAATCTCTGAAAAGTCGTTCTGTTTCCAAAGTATCAACGCGAATATCGACGCGAGTCGCTGTAGCTAACGAACAAACAAAGTCCTGTGTCAGGGAGACTTTGGTTGAACGTTAACGAGGATGCGAATCAGCGATGACATTTTTCGGGGATCCTCGTTTCACCGGGCTGCCAAAGTCGGAACAGTAATGACTTCGATACGGGAGCGGTCGCAGGGTGTTCGACTCTGTCCTCCCGATTGACCGATCGTCCAAAGCTACGATTACCAACTTACCATTTCGGTAGTGAGACTGGCTAGCGCCTCTTCGACGGTGGCAGCGATCCTCCCTCCGTCGTCCTGACGCTGGCTGCCCCTGATCGGCGTCGTCGGGCAACCTAAAATGATCGTTAGTCGTCATAGTGCAAGAGATAGGTCAGCGGCCGGTCGCAGCTGGACGGTCACCGGATCGCAGATACGTGTTTGCCTAGCGATTGTGTTCGAGTCGAGTCGAGTCGGCAATCTAGGGGGTAGAAACTGTGGACTCAAGTGTGTTCAGCTCGGGAGGATCGCTCCGACGACTCTCCGCTGTTCTAATCTTCGAATTCCATAGCGACCGGCTCCTTTGGCACGCTTTCTGATTTAACGGTGCGAATTACGGAATTATTGAATACGCCGCGGCGAAAGAGTTTCTCCGCGAATTTCGATCGGTGACCGATCTTCTAGCCACTATTTTCTTCGATGAACAGGAAACGTTCACTGCGCGAGAACAATTGGTTTTGTCGAATTTTTCACTTTTTTATTCTGTTTATTGTTTAATGACATTCGATGTCTTCTTCGACGAATGCAAAGTTAATTATGTTTAGCAATGAACCAAAGACATAGTTATACATAAGATATATTAAATTTCTTTTACTTGAAAACAAAGAAAGTAAAAGAATAAAAGATTGTGGTCTTATTCGATGTCTTATTCGACAAATGCAAAGTTAATTACGTCTAGCAACGAACAAAGGACACAGTTATATTTCGAATAAGATATATTAGATTTCTTTTACTCGAAAACAAAGAAAATAAAAGAATAAAAGATTGTGGTATGTCTTATTCGATAAATGTGAAGTTAATTATTATATGTACACGAAAACAAACCGAAGACGCAGCAATTTACCGAATGAAACATTAAATTTTTTATTAAAGAAGAAACAAAATAAAAAGATAAAAAATGTTAGTATTAAGTTTTTATATTCAAAAACAGACAGAATAAAAGAACAAGAAATGTTAGTATTAAGTTTTTGTACTAAAAAACAGACAGAATAAAAGAACAAAAAATGTTAGTATTAAGTTTCTGTATTCAAAAACAGACAGAATGAAAAAAATAAAAAAATATTTGTATTAAACTTTGTTATTCAAAGAGAAACAGAATGAGAGAATAAAAGATTTCAATGTATCTTGTTCGATAAATATAAAGTTAATTATCTTAGAAAATAAATTGAAGGCACAGTAATTGGCTATCTATCTCCAGATACTGACTCCGCTACCATATACACGTGGTAATTTGTCTCCCGATAAAGGATTCATTATTCAGCTGTGCCATGTAGTTAAGATTATTTATAAATATTATTTTATCCCAAAGAATCGTTTCGTTGTTTTATTAATGTGTACATCGTGAATTTGGAATAATCTAACGAATTTAGAACAATCTAGTGAATTATTAAGTTGACAAAAATTCAATTAATCCTTTGCAATCGAAGCTATTTTAATTCGAAATCCAAAAGATGTTTTCCGATCTACAGTAATTCCATTTTATATGATTTATCACGATTTATGCGTATTCAGCCCATTGGTAAGTACAATAGTTGCAATTTTAACAGTTTTTTAAAAACATTCACGAATCTAATACTGTTACAATCATTTCGAAAAATAGTACAACAATTTTTAGTGGCGCCTCAGTGTCGCCATTCGAGCGCAAAGGGTTAATTCTATTATAAATTTGCAAAAAATCGATGGGCCCTTTCTTAGGCACGATTGCACGAAGTTCGCGGGCTTCCGGTCCGGAGATCGTGATCAGAGCGGTCCTCCACTGTTATCAAAGTCGCCAAGATGCGAGAATAGAAAAGCGTGCAGAACCTACGTATAATCCGTGTCTAGAGGTGACAAGAAGCGTGTGTGTGTGGTCTAATCGTATGAATGCCATATAATAGCGAGAACGATATAGATAGAGAGAGATAAAGTATGAAAAAGAGAGTAAAATCGAAAACTTATCTCGAGGCACACCCCGGTTTCTAGAGGCCGACGACGGTGCCGGTCGTCGTCTAGGGTGCGTGCGAGTCAACGTACGGCTAAGTGAGAAAACGGGTGCCGGGTGCGTCATGAATAAACGGGGGGGTTGTTGTCAATGAGCGGTGAGGTCTCTGGTGTTTTTCTTTTTTTTTGCAATTGTCGTTTTATTGTCGCTCTCATTGTCCCAGGCGGAGGAAGAGGAGACAAAAACTGTATCGATCGCGATGAGCGTGTGTGTATGTGTGTTTGACAAGGCTTTTTTTCACGTAGTCACCTAAACAGGACTAATTGTGTGAAGCGACACCGGAGCACTGTCTGCTCGATTGTGCTTCGCAGGCGTTTTCGCCGACTTAACGTGGACGGTTGAATCGTGATTTCGACGATCGCCGAAGGTGTTCGTTGCTCGAGACGATTCGTTCGAAATCGGCGGAACAATTTGTCGGTGGTCGTTGAACAATTGTTCGACGGTCTCGCGACGAGCACCTTCGATCCCGTAAATAACGTACGTCTCTGAGCGTGCCCTCGTAACGCGTGTGTATGTGTGTGTCCGCGTGCGATTCACTGTTAAGTAACACTTACGGGCGACAACCTTGAACTACAATCTAGAACACATAGACAATGAGATTAACTTTAGGCACTGGAACTTCCGGTCGACGGATCCAACTAGGTACTAATCACTCTATGAACACAATGCAGCTGATGGACTTGGACGAACACAAACACGCCGCTTCCTTCGACTTGTTGAGTTGGTCGCAGGCTTGGGCCCGTTTATTTCCAGCGAAAGCAAACATAGTGATCGGACTAACTTGTCGGTAGACTGCGAATCTTTGTGCAAATGATCATTTTTAACACTAAATCTATCGCGGTCAAAGTGACCGCTTTCTTATTTTACAATTCAGTTTGCAAATAAGTTATATTATTCGAGCAAGTTTTATAATAAAAACTTTAGAAATTCTAAATAAATTCGGTCTTCTCACTTTTGCGAAACAGTGCATGCCAGTTAGTATTACTGCTTGGTAGGTATAGTGTTAAAGACGTCGTTTCCCAACAATTACAAATAATAGAAGATTCCTCGATCGATTAAGAGATTACTCGTTGTAGAAATAAAATAAAAATGCTACCAGATCTTGTCGATTCACAGGCTTCCTTGCATCGTAAAAGCCTGCGCTTGCCATAAATGCATAAAGATCCACAGTGCACTTGTCGGACTTGCGTTAGAAATTACGCGGAACGAACCGAGTCGTTCGAGTAAGCGGACTTCGGATCTTTATGCAAAATAACGATCTCTCTTCTTTCAAAGCAATGTCTCCCTTACTGAAGCTCAGATTACGCACAAAAATGGACAATTTGGGAAGACAAGATACGATTATTCGAGCCTTGCGGCTCGTTTTTATAATTGTGGACAATTTATGATTGTAAAAATAAACCGCAAGGCTCGAATAATCGTATCGCCTCTTCCCAAATTGTCCATTTTTCTGGTCAATCTGAGCGTCAATTAGAGAGACATTACTGTAGTACTTTCTAGATACAGTAATGTCTCCCATACTGACGCTCAGATTGTCCACTAAAATGGAAATGGAAAGGAATGGATTATTCAAGCCTTGCGACTTGTTCTTATAATTGTGGACAATTTATGATTGTAAAAATAAACCGCAAGGCTCGAATAATCGTATCGCCTCTTCCCAAATTGTCCATTTTTCTGGTCAATCTGAGCGTCAATTAGAGAGACATTACTGTAGTACTTTCTAGATACAGTAATGTCTCCCATACTGACGCTCAGATTGTCCACTAAAATGGAAATGGAAAGGAATGGATTATTCAAGCCTTGCGACTTGTTCTTATAATTGTGGACAATTTATGATTGTAAAAATAAACCGCAAGGCTCGAATAATCGTATCGCCTCTTCCCAAATTGTCCATTTTTCTGGTCAATCTGAGCGTCAATTAGAGAGACATTACTGTAGTACTTTCTAGATACAGTAATGTCTCCCATACTGACGCTCAGATTGTCCACTAAAATGGAAATGGAAAGGAATGGATTATTCAAGCCTTGCGACTTGTTCTTATAATTGTGGACAATTTATGATTGTAAAAGTAAACCGCAAGGCTCAAATAATCGTATCTCCTCTTCCCAAATTGTCCATCTTTCTGGTCAATCTGAGCGTCAATTAGAGAGACATTACTGTAGTACTTTCTAGATACAGTAATGTCTCCCATACTGACGCTCAGATTGTCCACTAAAATGGAAATGGAATGGAATGGATTATTCGAGCCTTGCGACTCGTTTTTATAATTGTGGACAATTTATAACTGTAAAGGTAAACCGCAAGGCTCGAATAATCGTATCTCCTCTTCCCAAATTGCCTATTTCTGTGGACAATCGGAGCGTCAATTACAGAGACAGTACTGTATCTTCTTCTGTGCTTCGGTCCGTACATTACTGTCACGAACGCGTAAAATCCGCAATCTAGAAATCGTCCGAGACGAGAGATCACTCGAATGAATTGACTTTAGCCTATTCGAGAAGAACTTTTTCTGTAAAATTTTTGAAAAGTGGTTCGAGTAGCATCGAACCACAAAGTAACGAAGCTATCTTATGGAAGAATCGTTTTCGTGGACAAATAAACCATTCCCTAACGAAATCCAGCTAACGAAGATGTCCGACTCGTCGTTTTCCACGTACATACACTTCGCGGAAACTGCCCAAGCCTGATCGGTGTTAGTGTGTCGACGACGTGGAGCGCGGGATTGATCGGAATCGATCGAGGTAGCTACGCTGCTAGTGATCTTGCATTGAGTGTTACCAGTTACGGTCGATGCAGTAATGTCTCCCTAACTGACGCTCAGATTGTCCAAAAAAATGGACAATTTGGGAAAAAGGAGACACGATTGTTCGAGTCTTGCGCGCCTCGTTTTTATAGTTGTTGAGAATCGGTAATTATAAAAACGAGGCGCAAGATTCAAATTAATCGTATCTTCGTATCTCCTCTTCCCAAATTGTCCATTTTTGTGGGCAATCTCAGCGTCACTTAGAGGGACATTACTGTACTACGGTACGACTAATTCGTGTGACTGGCGAAAGCTCTCTCCGAGTAATACAGACACTCTCGCGATCGTTTTTCTGGCTACATTTCATCGTTACGATAATCTTATCGCACGGTTTCGTATCATACACGCTTATTACATAGAAGGATTCGTTTTCTTACAGAGAGATTATGGTTCCGTAATATACGTATATATGTATAAACGGTTCAATGCCCTCGGTGCTTGCACCGAGCTACTCGAATAACGACGATACACGACAGGCAACGATGCTCTCTCTCTCTCTCCCTCTCTCTCTTTCTTTCTTTCTTTCTCTCTTTTTCTGTTGCCTTTTTCTCGTTTAGTTCTCTTTTCGAACACTACCTCAAAATCGTGGCACGTTAATCAGACTTCAGGTTGCCGGCGCGAGAGCCGCGTTGATTGCCCGTTACTCGATACGATTAAAACGTCTACTTCGCTCAATTTATCCTCGCTAGAGCACCCGACCTTGCCGCGATATTAATTGCAACGCCTTCGCAGCGATAATTCGGTCGGAGAGCTTCTTGTTCGCCGGCGTTTCTTTCTGCTAAATTAAACTGGAACCTTGAAGGATCGCCCTATCGGCTCTCCGAACACCGATCTCCGTAGTCTCTTGAACTCTTATTCGTGGATTCTTTAAGCTCTGATCCGTAATTTCGTGAACCCTGATCCGTGGTCATCAGACCCCCCCGAGTTGGAGTCAGCGAAGCTCGTACTACAACACGATTCGTGTGTCTGCTCGTGTTAACAAGATTATTTGGTAATTCGTTCGGGAAACTATCTAGTCGAAGGCATAATTCTTGGTGGACCAGTATATATGTATATACAGGGTGTCCCAAAAATGTCTCTCAATCCGAAAGTAGGGGATTCCTGAGGTCATTTGAAGCAACTTTTTCCTTTATAAAAATTTTCTCCGTGGCACCGTTAACGAGTTATTAACGAAAAACAGTGACCAATGGGAAGTGAGCTCGGCTCGCTAGGCCAACCAACGAGCGTACAGAGCCCAGTTCCGCTCATTGGCTCGGCCGTCTCGCGCCAGCTGGTCTCGTCTCTCATTGGTCACTGTTTTTCGTTAATAACTTGTAAACGAAGCCGCGGATTGCATTTTCGCTAAGGAAAAAGTTGCTTCAAATGACCTCAGCTACCCCACATTTCCGTATTGCGAGACATTTTTGGGACACCCTGTATATATTTTCAAATTCAGAAAGAGATTTTATACGAGATACTGTAAAAGCTATTAGTAAAAATATAGTTCACCATCAAAGACAATCCGGTGACTTCTATTCCCTATTTCGTATTAAATAACCCTAGTTACTGTTCATTCTGATAGTCTATCTAATCCTGTATACCAATAAATTGTACATGAATTGTAAAAGATTTCTAATCAACAACTTTCTTCGCAATTTCTGGATTTGATTTGCTATTCCAAAGCCTTCGCTTTTTCTATCCTCTACATTGCAATTGTATAACAACGATATCAAATGGAACATTAGATACCAACATAATAAAGCATTTCATCATCGATATCGCGTTTCTCTCTAAAAAAAAACAAAACGTAACCGTTTCTCTAAACATTTAATCGATTTTCCTTTCAATTTCTGGCTCCAAGTATATCCCATCGTCTCGCTTCTACACTCTACAACAATGCTATAAAAAATAATTTCCAACGCCGACGCATGATCAGCTTCCAGATCATCGTCGCACCGATTCTGCGATTTGTACGATACCAATATAAAAGATAGGTTAAACCAACGCAAGGGGTTAACGAACGGAAAGAACAGCGACTGGACAATCAACCGGTCAGCAACGCCCGATGCAAATCCGTTCGTCTCGAAGGTCGACGACGAAGGAGAAGAAGAAGAAGAAGAAGAAGAAGAAGAAGAAGAAGAAGAAGAAGAAGTAGTAGTAGTAGTAGTAGTAGAAGAAGAAGAAGAAGAAGAAGAAAACGAAGGAGTCTTCGAGGCACGTAGTGGGGCCCTTCAGGAGCTGTAGTAGATGTTCAGCGCGTAGAGGAACTTACCTGCGTCACCGCTGCTGGAGCTCTCCGTGTAGGACGGAGTACCCTCGGTCCAAGTGGGCGTCGAGCCCTCGTTGCTGCCCGCAGGTGGTGTCCAGGTGAGGCCACCGCCGCCTCGACTGCTGCCGCCGCTCTCGACGCTCAGCGACGACTTCGTCTCCCTTCCGCCGCTTCCGCTTCCGCTACCGCTGCTCTCCAAGTGAACGTCGGATATACTGAAACGTCCGTTCGATACTGATCAATCGTCCGTTCAAACGCCATCAATCAATATCTCGATGATAGGCGAACACGTTTTGGGACAGGTGACAAGCTACTTTGGAGGCTATCGAGCGGAGTTGGGTATTATTCGAATAAATTCTGCCGATAATATTTTACTCGATTAACGTATTGAATAAATTGTACGAATAGAATTTTATTCGAATAATGTATTGAATAAATTCTACGGATACAGTTTTATTCGTATAATATATCGAATAAATTGTACGAATAAAATTTTATTCGAGAGTGTAACGAGTTGAACAAATTCTTCGAATAAAATTTTATTCGATTAGTATGTCGAACAGATTCTACGAATAGAATTTTATTCGAATGTATCGAATAAATCCTACGAATAAAGGTTTATTCGAATAATATATTAAATAAATTCTACGAATAGAATTTTATTCGAATCAGATATCGAATAAATTCTGCGAATCAAATTTTATTCGAGAGTGACGATTTGAATAAATTCTTCGAATAAAATCTTATTCGATTAATATGTCGAACAAATTCTACGAATCAAATTTTATTCAACTAACGTTTCGAATAAATTCTTCGAATAAGATTTGATACGAGTAACTTGTTGAATGAGTCAAATTTTATAAAATAATATTTAACAGTGGACGACTTTAAATAGTTAACAACGGAGCCTGCTGAAATATAACAACGACAATATACGACGGTGTGCATTGTCTCCTAATCGCGAGAAGATCGGCATGACTGTCACGACAAAACCGGGACCCTAACTTAACCAAAGTTTCGTAGAATTATTCGGTGGGTGATTTAATCGAGGAGAGCGAGTTCTAGGGGTTGAAGTCGCGATAAAGATGATTCACTCACCTGACCGCGTCGTGATAGGTCTTTGTTAGGGTGACGTGGTGCACGACCTTGTTCTGCTTGGACTGAGCACTGCTCAGACTGCTCGTTAAGATCGTAGTCGGCGCACCCTGCTGCAGTTGACCACCGGAAGCCAGGGTTTGGTCGTTCGAGCGCACTGCATCGTCAAAGGGCGGGGGCGGGGTGGAGCAGGTGGAAGGAAGGGTGCCACCTACAAAAAGCGCGCTACAATTAGCCCTAATGAACAGAACACGATGCGCTTGGCTCATCGTCGGAGGGTTCTAAGGGAATATCGGTGTTCCTAGCGCAGCGATATCTGGTCGCTTCGACAGCCGAAAAGGGTTTACAACAACGAGAAAGATCATCGACAAAACAAGTCGTTCGAAAACGTACAAAAAGCCGGTAAAAATGTAATTAGTCCGTGAGACAATTTAAGCTAAGCGTGAATTGGATTACACAAAACAGTTCAGTTCATTGAAACATTTGTCTTGAAGTCAGAGCGAAAAATCCGACAGACGTATTAATTTTCTGTTAATCGAAGGAGCTCGAGCTCGACAATTGGAGGACAGGGGGCCGAAGTATAAAACTAGCTTAACGCCGTGTTAACGGTGACTATACTAAGCACACGGTCCAAGTAACACTAATAAACAGCATCTCAAGCGTTACGTTGGCGAACGCGTTCGGTCGCAACATCGATTCGTTAGCATATTAGAAACCGATCACTTCCTATTGAAGTCAGTCCGAATAAGCCATTCCAGGTACGCTAAATGGTTGCCGGCCAATCGAAACAGGTGTAATACGTACTACGGTCTACTTGCGTGTCTACAGAGGCGCACAAACAGCAAGCTACATTAGCCAGCAAGGCGATCTAGCCGCAACAAAGGTATTGCAAGTGTAACGAGCACACTCGTGTGAACGTCCCTTTATTGTGATACAGAGAGCACACACCATACAGTCACTCCTGGAAGATCGTTTCCCGTTTGCTCGTTCAAACGACGACGTATCGACAGAAGTAGAAAACTGATAAATTCGAAAGAACGGACGCGACCGTCCCGCAGATATCGTCGAACTCGATCGTCGATTTCCTATTCGTCGGAATACGGCGGATCTGGACCGCGCGTTTCGATCGATCGCGTCCGTTCCCGTTGCCAACGAGGAAGGACTACGCATGCAGAAGACACACTGTCAACCGGTTACGAGTAAAAGAAAAACCAAATCCTTACACGCTACGAGTTCAAAGGAAACATTAAAAAATCGTGGTACAGTAATGTCTCCCATACTGACGCTCGGATTGTCCACTAAAATGGATACAGTAATGTCTTCCTTACTGACGCTCAGATTGCGGAGAGAAACGGACAATTTGGGAAGAGGAGATACGATTATTCGAGCTTTACGGTTTGTTTTTATAGTAACGAATTGTCAACGATTATAAAAACGAGCTGCAAGACTCGAATAATCGTGTCTCCTCTTCCCAAATTGTGCATTTTTCTGCACAATCTGAGCGTCAATAAGGGAGACATTATTGTAATTCGGGGAGACGAGATACGATTATTCGAGCCTTGCGGGTCGTTTTTATAATTGTGGACAATTTATAACTGTAAAAGTAAATCGCAAGGCTCGGATAATCCATTCCATTCCATTTCCATTTTAGTGGACAATCTGAGCGTCAATTAGAGAGACATTACTGTAGTATTTTCTAGATACAGTAATGTCTCCCTTACTGACGCCTATATTGTCCACTAAGATGGAAATGGAATGGAATGGATTATTCGAGCCATGCGACTCGTTATTATAATTGTGGACAATTTATAACTGTAAAGGTAAACCGCAAGGCTCGAACAATCGTATCTCCTCTTCCCAAATTGTTCATTTTTCTGGTCAATCTGAGCGTCAATTGGAGAGACGTTACTGTACCCTCGCGTCTGCCGATCGTAGGTTCGGCATCGGCCGATAGAAAAAGAAAACGGTACCTCTCGTCGACGCCGTAAAATCGACGATGGGGAAACGGCACACAGCGAACAAACGGAACGGTTTTAACAACAAAGCGCATATATCCCGTCCAGCCGGCGGGCAAAGACCGCGCGGGAACGTCGGGCTACCCCGACCTCTTCTCTCTCTTCTCTACGGACAAGGGAGGAAGATTCGTTGCGTACGGGGACCGACGTGTTACAAAACTGGAGAACGAGAGATCGAGTGATGAGATGCGAGAACGAAAAGTAACTCGGAGTGATGTGTACTTCGCGCATGCACGAGAGAAAGTTGGCTTTTTTTCGGAGTGGTTTCTCGGGCCGGCGCTTGAAAGCCTCCTCCAGTCTTCTTCTTGCTACACGGTCCCTCTTCTCGATCGTTCGATCGAGCGAGGACCGACTCGTTTTCTTCACAGAAATTCTCGCCTCTAAAATCTTGAGATCTCGTAGCATGGCCGCGCGTCTCAACTTTTCCGCTCGGACAACGCGCCATCATCGATTCTCCCCCGTCTTCGAGATCTCAAGATCGCACGACTTCCTCTACGATGAGTTCTCCTCTTCGACTCGGGGACTAATATCTCTCTGCTTGATGCCGATAGGCGTGCAAGAAAGACTTGTTAGGCACTAACTTGGATCCCATCGATCCTCCATCCTTCTTCTCCTGCTCCTTGGAACCGGAGCTCCATTTCGACGAACCAGTTCCCAGGTCTCTTCCAGCGATCTTCTTATTCGCCCGAAGGTAGTCCGAAGCCACCGAGGACTCATAACCGTCTTTGCTTCTCGTGATTCTAGACGCTCTGCGAGCTCCAATCGTCGTCGAAGCATAGACCGCCTCGGAGCTCTTTCGTCTGGCCGCCTCCTCGACTTTGGTCACCCTGAAAGTTCTCTTCTCGGACTTCAAATGCAAGACTTTGTCCCCTTGCAGCTCGCCGACGTCGCCGGTTGATTTAGCTAGCCGTTCGCCGACGAAGCTAGGTCTCGGAGGCGTCTCCAGCTTCTTCCGTGGACTATCGAGAACCCGATCGATCTTCTTCGACCCGTCGAAGGTCTGTATCGCGGGAGTCGGCTCCGGAGCAAGCTTCTTCCTCCTCTGCGCAGACTTCTGCCTGATTTTCTTCAGTAAACGACTCTCCCGCCTGCGCTCCGGCAACTTCTGATCGATCTTCCCCTTTCTTGCCAGCGTCGATCCACCGCCGGGATCGACCGTCTTATCGCCGGAGATCTTGTTCGCCGCCTCGCTTCTCCGAGTCAGCGCGGTGATCGTGTTCAGAGAGGCCTCGAGCTCCTTCTGCTTCCTCTTCATCCGCTCGTAGTAGGTCTCCGAGTGTTTCTTGTCCTTCCGCGACATCTTGTAGTTCATTAGCTCGGACCTGGCCGACGGGTTCAAGAAGTACGTGAACTTGGCCATGGCGTCGCTCTTCGGCCTCGCCGGCTCCACCGGCGGTGCCGCGGCTTCGATCCGCTGCACCCTGGGCTTCACGAAGTTGCCCCTTTCGGGCCGGAACGGGAACGGGCTGGATCGGATCACGTAGTCCCCGTTGATTCTCTCGATGCTGACGAACTCGTCGTCCTCCTCGATGTTCCCCGGCCAGCCGCCCCAGCGGTCCTCCTCCTCGCGGACGGCCTCGAAGGCGGCCGCGACCCTCGACCGCTGGATCGTCGCCAGGCTGTCGATTCTCTGGGTTTGGTAGGTGGGAGTCGACGTACGGGCATGCAACGCGTTCACGTCGTATGTAGGGGTCGTGGCAGTGGTGGCGGTAGTGGTGAATGAGGTGACATAGTGGTCGGAGGTCGTGGTGTTAGCCGAGACCGCGGCGGAGGTGTGATTGTCGGGTGGTGTTGTGGGTTTTTGGTGCAGGATGCTCGAACTGTCATGCAAGCGGTATCTCGTGATTATGGCTGGTTGGTCACCTCGGCTGGATGTGATCGAGGACGTCGAGGTGGCCGTCCCGGGGCCACGGTGCTCCTCCGAGGACCTGCCGGCGGTCCTCGACTGACCGGTGCCTCTTGGCGGGACAGGGGGCGGTACCTTGCCGGAGGGTACCAGGTTCGGGATCGGCGGGCTGGCGGCGGTCCTGCCCTTCAGCACGGCCGGGTAGCTCGTCGCCTTGGCCGCCGAGCTCGCCTGGACTGGTTCTTGGTGGACCGGGACCGGGATCGGGCCCGCGGCCAAGGTCAACGGGGGCGGGCTCACCGAGCCGCTGGCGAAGTTTACCGGGGTGGAGGTGGCGATCGGAGCCGAACCGGCGGACACCACGGTGCTGGTCGTGCTGATCATGGGGTCTGTCGGCGTCACTGCTTCGGCCAAGGTCGGTCGCAAGGGCGGTCGAAGGTCGTCCGTCGTGGGAGACGGACAGAGGCAAGGGGGTCGTGCGGCCACGGCAGTGAACACGGGGGAAGAGAGGGGTACAGAGAGGTGAAAGAGAGAAACAGAGAGGCTACGTGAGAGACTGTGGAATGATGATTCGCGGGCACTGCAACGCTGCCTCGTAATCCGTCTATCTTCGAGCCAGAGTTCGGCAACGTTTTGTTCGGATGATCGGTTAAAGATGAATACCGACCACACAATTTCATTCGAGAATAATATTCAATTTCATTCGAATAAATTTATTCGATCGAATGCAAATTTATCTAGATATTAATTTATCCGAATAAAATTTAATTTCAATAGGAATTCGGTCGTTCGAATGAGAATTCGTGGAATTCGTACGGGGAATAATTGATTTGAATAAAAATGAGGTAATGTAAAGTGTTTTTTTATAGTTTAGTCCGTATTACTTTTTCGAATTATACGAATAAAATATTCGACTACAAGGAATTCATTCGGATAATTATCTTAGATAAATATTTATTCGAAACGATCCGAATAATGCTTATATCTCTGCTTCAGAAGATTTCATTTGATTCTTGACTGGATCTTAAACTATCGAGTTCATTTTGCTGCTCCTCGTTTTAATTCGTTCATCGAAAAAAGCTTCTTTCTCATCCAACATTTGAAATTTTGCCGAAATATCGTTTTCGAGACAGTTACAATGATGTTAAAAACACTTATTTATTAAAACTGAACTGAAAACTTATTAAAAACACTTTCACAGAGGAGATAGAAAAACTTTTAATTCATTTCGTCCATTACGATATCTGTTTTAACACTTTGACTGCCCCGTAAGCCGTGTATGGATGACATAATTTTCTTATCAAACTTGAAACATAATTTTGGTTATAGCGTAGGAAACAAACCAAAGTTTCCTAGAACGTACAGAGTGCAAGAAATTTGCAAAAGTTTATGCTGAAAAAAAGTTATAGCATAGAAAAAACTTAGATAAAAATTGGCCGACTTTGATTGCCTATAACTCCGCGAAAAATCATCGTAGGATGATCATTTTGATTTCAAATTAAAGCTTGAAATCTCTACTTTGAGACACCGTTTATCGATTTTAAGTGCGGCGCACCCTCACCACCTTAACCCTTCCAATGTAGCGCCATGTTTGTCACATTGAAAATTGCCGAGTTTGACGAAATTCTCGGGTTTTGTCAAATTTATTTCGGAGATGTCGTTTGCAGCGGAATAAATCTCGATCTTTCCCCTTTAATTTAACCCTTTGCACTCGAAGCTATTTTAATTATATTTTAAACATATTTTCTGATCTACAGTGTTTCTATCTTATACGATTTATTACGATTTATGCGTACGAAAGCCTATTGGCAAGTACAAAACTTGCAATTTTAAGAGTTTTTTTACGATATAAACGAGTCTGATACTATTACAATTATTTTGAAAAATAGTACAGCAATTTTTAGTGGCGCCTCAGACTCGCCACTCGAGTTGAAAGGGTTAAATAAAAGAATCTTGGCTGCGATTTTTCTTCGCGAAGTTACCCTAATCTTTTCGAGCAGCGTGCGATAAAATAAGTTCTCTCGATTTCGCTTAACTTTTACGGACCTTGGCGTGGCAGCCAACGTGTTAAACGCTTTTGCGATAGAATTTGTAGACGGATGGCACGACGTTCGTCTGCTAGCTTCTACCAAACGATGGTTGAACTCCGTTTCCTAGGGAAATGGAAACTTCGATGGTGCGCCGCGGCGCGAGGCAACGTTGCATTGCCCGTCGAGATATAATACCGCTAATAAAACAAGGACGGATGAGCGTGATCAAAACCGATGTTATCGCGACAACGAATCGTTCGTCTAACTATATACATCGACGGTCCTCTCGGGACCGGCATTCTGCGAGAATGTTCGCCGACCTCCTCGACAGAGACCGCGATAGAAATGGAAACGACAACGGACAATAGGAAAGTAAGTGATCTGTATGAGACTCACCGGCCTTCGTAGGTGACGTAGCATGCATTGTCGTACTTCCGGTTGTCGGCACCGCTAAACCACCACATAACACCATGTACCATTACCGTATCACCATGAGTGCGACACTTGATCGGACAGAGAAACTTCCAAGCTCTGGAGAGAGACGTTCGTTCGCGTCGCGTCGCGGCAATTTTTTTTCGCATGCCGGTCTTATCGAAACGCGACGAGATTCTCGATCGGTTGCAAGTCTCTTTGTCCATTCGCATATCGGAGGTGTTCCCGAGACGAAACGGGGGAGGGGGGAATAGTCGAGCAAGGGACGTTCGAGGCAAACATAGGGGGACTCAACGGTCGGAATGCGCGCATTCGACTGACATTCACGATAGAAAGCTGTAATACGTACGGTCCTCGCGTCTGATCAGAGTTTCCGTCTGACCAGATCCGACAAACGACGAATTTCCTCGCGGAATTTTCGTATAAACAGAGATCCAATCAGTGTGCCGAATTCTTTCGTTGCCATACAATTTGCCAAACGATGTGTGTAACGGTAGTATGCCGAGTGTGCGAGCGATCGGGAGCGTCTTCGTGCTCCTAGATTAAACGTTAAAATGGCCGTAAAATGGCTAACCGGTCGCATGAATTTTAGCTGGTACTTTTAGACGGACCCGCGAGATCTCCGACGCGAACTGGACACTTAATTTGAACAGCGGTTCGCAGAAATTTGCAAACGTAAAAGAAGTTTGCGTCTCGTTTGCTCGTTAACCCTTTCGGTACGAGCGCGTTGTCCGCCGTGACACTCCCACTGCACGGGGTGCCGCGCCGAAAATGCGCACATAACGCAGGGTCGGTCCACTTTTGTACGAAGATTTTCTTAAGCGTTAAGTAATGACTGTGCTTAATCCGTTTCTAAATCTTTCTTTAAATGTTTCCTGCAAACATTCTGTAAAGGGCCTACAGAAATATGGCTTACATGGATGCCAGATGTATTCGGCACTCGTCCATATTGGTCATCAGATGGATGCCGGATATATCCGGCGCTCG